TATCATTCCATATTACGGATATACACAGACTCGGCCATGTAATCTATCTAGGATGAGTGATAAGCGTAAGAGGTACAATCAGTATTTAAACAGGTTTTTCTTACTCAGAGGCTCATGATATTCCCACTTCTCTACAGTGCTTCTGCTTTTTTTTTTTTTTTTAAATAAACTTTATTTTTTAGATCAGCTTTAGGTTCACGGCAAAACTGAACAGAAGGTACACAGATTTCCTATATACTCCCTGCCTCCACACATGCATATACCCTCTCCCATTTTCAACATCTTCTACCAGAGTAGTACCTTTGTTACAACTGATGTGCTGTTCATTTTCTCATTCATTTCAATAAGAACTGAATACCTACTGGGTGTTATTGTGAACAAATGGACATTAGAAAGAAAATACAACTCATCCTTAAAATTAATAAATACTCTCAGAATCAAACAAAACCTAACCTGAGAGAGAACAGACCACCTGAAACAAAGAAGATCAACTGTCTTTTTCTTTGTGAAGTCTGCTCTAACAGCATGTGACATTGATCTGAGGCTTCCAGCCAATCAGAAAATCAACAAAACAAGATGCAATGTTTCCAAATCCCAGCCAAGGCTCATGAAAATTAAGCTGGTGAAAGCAATGCCACAAATGTAATATTGGGCATACTAAATTTTGACACCTAAAGATGAAAGAGACTGGAATGTTAAAAAGATAAAATATGTTTTCAAAAATTTATTATTACAAAACAATTTGTTCATGAAACTCAAATAAAAATAAGAGCAAACCAATTGCAAAGACAACTCAAGATACCATGTACACATCCTGCTAGGATGAAGAGCCTTCTAGTCATTCATTCAACCAATCATCCATCCATCCATCCATTATCCATCTAGCTAGCCGGGCATCAAACATCATTGAGTGCCTACTAAATGTTGGGCACTCTGTTGACCAGTATACAGGACGGATAACGTAGTCTCCACTCTAAAGTTACCTTCAGTTTAGTACTGGAAGTAAAACATAATTACAAGGTACACAGAAGTTACATTCTGCTCAAGGATTAGGGAGGGCTTTGTGGAGAAGAGATGCTTGAACTGGGCACTGACACACCTAGAAGATACAGCCATATAGAAATGAAAGGAGAGTGCACTTGTGCGTTCTGAGTATAGGCAGTGAGTTGAATTCTTTAGAGAGGCTAAATAAAATCTAAGTTTCACCTTGGAGTCTAGGATTCTGCTATTAATGCAGCCCACTTATAGCATAAACACTGGGATACTTCCTACTTCTAAACTATAAAATTGAGCTAATACTACTCTCCTCCCTGACTGGGATTTTGTGAGGCATTTTATTTATTTATTTACACTGAATAATATAGCCAGAAGAAGATTCTCTTCCTGAATTTTAAAAGGTGGAAAAGAATTTTACACATTATAGTCTCCTTCCTAGTCTCTCCTTAATAAATTTTGCATGAGCCATAGTACTTTCTCTAGCCAATATGATGAATAAATAAGATAATTCCTCAAAGTATCGTAAAATTCTTTGGCCTCCTCATCTGTGTCCTAACCTTATTGAGTTAACAACAGATATGAGACACAGCAACTACCTGGGAGATTAAACAGGAAGACAGAAAACACACTCAGGTGAATTCGTCTGCTGCCACCAAGAATATAAGTTAATTATTAATGTAAAAAGTAATTCTCAGAAACTGGAAGGGGTGTTATACGGATTTAGTTTACCTCACACAGAGGAGGGAACTGAGACTGGAAGAGAGGCAGTAATCTGCCCAGATTGCCCAGCCAATTAATGGCAGACTTGGGGCTTTCATTTCTGGTCCAGCGTCTTTTTCTGTCTTTCTCTTTTCCTTCTTTCATTCTCTTTCTCTTTCTTCCTCTCTTTCTTTCTCTCTTTTCTTTCCTTTTCTCTCTCTCTCTCTCTCTTTTTTTTTTTTTTTCCCCCAGACAGGGTCTCACTCTGTCACTCAGGACAGAATGCAGTGACACATCACAGCTGCAGGCTCGACTCCCCTAGGCTCAAGTGATCCACCTCAGTCTGCCATGTAGCTAGGATAGGTGTGCACCACCAAGACCAGCTAATTTTTCTATTTTTTTGTAGAGACGAGGTCTCACTATGTTGCCTAGGCTGGTCTCAAACTCTTGGGCTCCAGCAATCCACCTGTCTTGGCCTCCCAAAGTGCTGGGATTATAGGTATGAGCTAACACACTGGGCCCATTTTATTCTTTAAACCAGAGGCTGAAACTAGAAGCTCCCTGTAGAACTGTTCTGTATAACTCTCATGGTATATATTTTTAACTAATCTGATTTTTAGACAAGAGATACACAGAGACTCCAACAATTCCCTAAATCTTATACAGGCCCAATTCATATATTCATGCTGCCTGCCTGGCTTTAGTAAGCAAATGAGTTCTGACTCTTGCTTTATACCGTCCCATCTTTTCTGTAGTACATGCTGAATTTAATTAAGTTACTTCCCTCCCATCTCAAATCTCAAAGGCAAACGGTTTTTTCTTTTCCCTAAGAATACTACCTCATATTTGAGTAATACTTTCATAAAAATAACATTCTTTGTGCAGGACATTTTATAAAGATACGAAGATAAGTGAATGTCCTCATGGTTATGAAGCTAATTAGGGCTAGGCCTCAGGATTCCTGGCTCAGTTCAGAAGTCTTTTTATTAATATTAAGCCTTGAGCCCAAAAGACCAAACGCATATCTCACAACAATTCATTTATGGCTCAATTATTTGTCTTCAGAAAAATATTTATATCAAAGTAAAATGAACATATTGAGTTCTAAATAACATCTTTCATAGGTATAAGGAAATCTAAAAGAAACAGAGTAGTATCTGTGTGCCCATTATATATTCTAAATTGTGATTGTCTTCAAATATAAACACGTAACCAGTTATCACAAATGGAATGTAAGAATAACAAAGTGTTAAATGATTAAAGATTTTTTAAAGACACAAAGACTAGAAACTAGAATTTGATACACTGCAACCATCTGTACATATATGAAGTATTGAAGATTTCCCAAACCCCAGTTATAGTAGCTATGAGTTTATCGTCAGTTGGCCACCAAAGAATAATAGAATAGTTTTACAGTGAAAAGGAGAAATAAAACTCCTTTATTAAATTCCTTATATTAAATGGAGTTAGGGAATTGTGAGCCATCTGTAATGCCTATTTTCCCTATTACCTTATTAATAAACTGAAATAATTATGAAAAGTATACTTGGCAGATGAAATCAGAACTTGAAAATTCCTCTAAAACTTTAAAATGAACTCAAACTTTTACAGGCTTCAAGGAGAAAAACAAACAAACAAACAAACATCTCCAAACATTTTCATTGAGGAAAAAAACCGCATTATTTGCTTCTTAAGATATATAGGAAGTCATTTGCTTACAGAACTCAACAGCTGAAAACTTGGTTTCAGCCATTGATACATAGCTGTCCTATTACCTGAATAGCTATACAATGCCAGTTTTAACTCCTTCTAAAATGAGAATGTAATTATTAATATTTGGAAAATGATGTCTGGAGCATACTCACTGCTATTACTGATAGAAGTGTAAACTAATACAACTGTTCTAGAAAGCAATTTGGCACACTTACCAAAAACCTTTCAAAAGTTCACAGGCTTTTCTCTAGTAAATCCCTTTTCATGTGCACAATTTCTTTCTCCTACTATCATTACCATCAAATGAATCCAACAAATGTGAAATCACCAAGGATTTGTAACTAGCCTTAAGACAGTAGCCTGGACTTTTCCCCACACCTCATTATATACTCAAGGTAGCATTCTGTTCTCACGTGGCACTTTACAATCATGCTTTTAAATAAATATGCTCCGGCCAGGCACAGTGACTCATGCCTGTAATCCCAGCACTTTGGGAGGCCAGGGCAGGTGGATCACAATGTCAGGAGTTTGAGACCAGTTTGGCCAACACGGTGAAACACTGTCTCTACCAAAAATACAAAAATTAGCTGGGTATGGTAGCAGGTGCCTATAATCCCTGCTACTCAGGAGGCTGAGGCAGGAGAATCACTTGAACCTGGGAGGTAGAGGTTTCAATGAGCCAAGATCATGCCACTGCACTTTAGCCTGGGTGACACAGCAAGACTCCATCTCAAAATAAATAAATAAATAAATAAATTAATTAATTAAAGATGCTTCCAGCTGGAAGTCTACCAAGTTATCATCAACGACGATTTTTTTTTTTTTAAGGCAGAGTTTTGCTCTTGTTGCCCAGGCTGGAGTGCAATGGCATGATCTTAGCTCACAGCAACCTCAGCTCCTGGGTTCAAGTGATTCTCCTGCCTCAGTCTCCCAAGTAGCTGGGATTACAGGTGTGCGCCACCATGCCTGGCTAATTACGTATTTTTAGTACAGACGGGGTTTCTCCATGTTGGTCAGGCTGGTCTCAAACTTCCAACCTCAGGTGATCTGCCCACCTCAGCCTCCCAAAGTGCTGGGATTACAGGTATAAGCCACTGTGCCCAGCCAATTTCTTATTTAAAATTTTTTTTTTGTAGAGACGGGGTGTCACTGTGTTACTCAGGCTGGTCTTGAACTTCTGGGCTCAAGCAATCCTCTCACCCCAGCCTCTCAAAGTTTTTTTATTAAAGGCATGAGCCACCACGCCCAGCCCAATTTTTTTTTTTTTTTTTGACACAAAGTCACACTCTTGTCCCCGAGAAGTGCAATGGCGCAATCTCAGCTCACTGCAACCTCTGCCTCCTGGGTTCAAGCAATTCTCCTGCCTCAGCCTCCCAAACAGCTGGGATTACAGGTGCCTGCCACCACACCTTGCTAACTTTTGCATTTTTAGTACAGACAGGGTTTCACCATATTGGCCAGGCTGGTTTTGAACTCCTGACCTCAGGTGATCTGCCCGCCTCAGCTTCCCCAAGTGCTGGGATTACAGGCATGAGCCAATGCACTCAGCCCAATTTTTTTCTTAATGGCCAAATGATATTCTTATGCCTAGAATCCTTTTGTGGTTCAAAAGCATGATGTCTGGGTTTTCATGCTATTGTGTAAGATGTGACTCCCTTACCTTATTTACAACATCGGTACATTGTCTGATATGAAAAGAAAGAAAATAGAAAAGAAAAAAGGAAAAAAAAACCTCTTATGCCTAGTAACAAGTTGGATTTTGGTACAGTGAAAGGCACCTATTAAAAACTGGTATTAATTTTTAGAGTTAATAAGTTTAAAGAATTTAAACTCTGAATAATGAGTGCCTTTTATATTTTGGGCTATATCTTTGTAATTCACACATTTTCCAAATCCTATGTTAGCTGTAATTTTATTGAGTGCCCACTATGTGCTTAACAGCTGTAAAAAGAAGAAAGGATTTTAAAAGAAACAGAAGACACATTATCCTATTGTATTTCAGAAAGGTTTTTGCTAGTCTCTGTAGCAGTCAGGGTAAGCAGTTTAGTCTTAACTAAATATACATGACAATTATAATATTCAAATATAAGTTATACTGTATATAAATAGAAATTTTTATCTAGGTATGACAAATTGATAAAACTGCACATTGGATATACTTTAAATTCTCCTGGAGTAAAGAATGGGAATGTCATCCTGTATAGTAAGGTTAAATTATAACAGGAAATGAATATTTAAGTCACAAAGGATGAGTTAACTCTCTTCCTAGCCAGTCTAACTTCTTCTCTTCCAGACTAACTCCTTATTTAGTGTTTTAGAGCACTCCCCTGAGACCTGTTCCTATCAATTATCTCCAGTCTCACTTTTATTTTCTATCTCTTTCCCCACCATTACTTTGTGGTTCATTTCCTTTAGCACAGAAACATTTTTCAAGTCTACTGCATACTTTAAAAACAAGAAAAATCTTTATTTGACCTTGCATTCCTCCATCTAGATATAATCCTTTTTCCCCTTCTATTCATGAGAACTCCTCTGAAAATGAATATTCTATTTTCACTGTTTCTTTATATATATAAAGAAATATATATTTAAGTATATGTATGAAGACAGAGACAGATGGACAGACAGGTTCTTGCTATGTTGCCCGGGCTGGTCGCAAACTCTCCTGGGCTCAAGCAATCCTCCCACTTTGGCCTCCAAAAGTGCTGGGATTACAGGTGTAAGCCACTGCACCTGGCCTATATTCACTATTTCTGTTTGATCAATTTTCAGCCTACCTCAATCAGGCTTCTCTGTCCCCTCTCTACTGAAACTACTCTAGCCAGTCACAGGTGGCTTCCACACTACCAATTCATAACACTTTTCTTTTATTATTGAATTTCTCAGTTGCATTTGACAGAATTGGACCATTCAGTTCTTCCTAAAACTTTTGATACACGGTTTTCTACTGGTCTTCCACAAATTGCTTTCTGATTGCTCCTTTCAGTTTGTCAAATTCTCCTTTTCTACTTTTACCCTTAAGTATGGGGGCTCTCAGGGTTCTGTCCTTGGTATCTATTTCCATGGTCATTCCTTGAGTGATGTCATCTATGTCAGAGCTTCAAGAGCCTACAAACATTACTTTAGAATATTTTCATCACTGGTCTTCTTGGATATCTTACTGCCTAACTGGAACATGTTTGCTAACATATTCCGTAGGATTATATACCTCAGCTGGTCCACAACTGAACTCATCTTCCCACCAAAGCTTTACTTCTTGTATATTTGTTAATATCATCTGCCATCTGCTCAACCAACCAAGCTCAAACTCTTTAAGGGTTAACCAGTCTTCTCTCTTTATCTCACCTCATCATCAGGCCCCTATCACTTTACTTTTAATGTATTTCTCTAATCTATCTCATCCTGTCTATCCCAACCACAATTGCCTTAGTTTGAGCCTATGTTAATTCTAGGACTTGGCAACTGCAACAATCCACTCTAAAGTGTAACTCTGACCTTACATCTCTCATAAAATTTTTATGTTCCTCAGTGCTAAAAGCAGTATTTCTTGTGTTAGGGTTACTTGTGGATGCTTGTAAACATGCATATTCCTGGGTCAATCTGCATTTTTACATATTTTTCAACTTATTCTGATGCAATGTAAAGCTGGAGTACAGGCTGAAGTTTAAGTTTAAATTTCATACCAAGGCATAAAACATCTCCCAGGTCTTGGCTCTTGCCTACTTAGTTCTCTAACATAGCACTTCCCTTTTTCTCCCATCACGTGCTTTATTATTTAGAGTACTGAATTCATCTACACTTATCCAAGTGTCACTGGCTTCCATGCTTTTGCTCTTTTTTCACTTCACCAAGTCTTATTCAACCTATTGAATATTATACTTTTTTTCCTATCAAGCAGGTACTAACTTTTAACTCTTCTTAACCAAAGATGGGGTTTCTTGCTGTGGTATCATAAAATAAAATTTTAAAAAATTAGGTCTTTTTCCCCAGTTCCTGACACAGAGCTCATAAAACCCTTGGAATTTCCTGAGTGATAAGAGTAATAGAAGCATCTTTGGTTCTAAGGAAGTGACTCTTGGTTGGTCCCTAGATAGCTTTAGGATTGGAGCTAGTCACCACAAACACCAATCCTTGATTAGAAGCTTGGAATTTTCAGCTCCACCATCTAACCAAGGAAGGAGTGGAGATAGAATCAGTTGCAGTGGGAAGTGACTGAATCATGGAGGTGAGTTTTTCTGGTGCTGTTCTCCTGACAGTAAGTCTCACGAGATCTGATGGTTTCAAAAAGGGGAGTTTCCTGCACATGCTCTCTTGTCTGCCCCCATGTAAGATGTCCCTCTGCTGTTACTTCTTCCACCATAATTGTGAGACCTCTACAGCCATGTGGAACTGTGAGTCCATTAAAACTCTTTCCTTTATAAATTACCCTTGAGTATGTCTTTAGTAGCAGCGTGAGAACAAACTAATACAGTAAATTGGTACCAGGTATTGGGATACTGCTATAAAGATACCTGAAAATGTGGAAGCAACTTTGGAACTGAGTAACAGGCAGAGGTTGGAAGAGTTTGGAGGACCCAAAAGAAGACAGGAAAATGTGGGAAAGTTTGTAACTTCATAGAAACTTGTTGAATGGCTTTGACCAAAATGCTGATAGTGATATGGACAATAAGGTCCAGGCTGAGGTAGTCTCAGATGGAGATGAGGAACTTGGGAACTGGGGCAAAGGTGACTCTTGCTATGTTTTAGCAAAGAGACTAGTGGCATTTTGCTCCTGCCCTAAAGGTCTGTGGATCTTTGAACTTGAGAGAGATGATTCAGGGTATCTGGTGGAAGAAACTGCTAGGTGGCAAAGTGTTCAAGAAGAAGCAAAGTACAAAAGTTTAGAAAATTTGCAGCCTGATGATATAATAGAAAATAACCCATTTTGGGGGGAGAAATTCAAGCCTGCTGCAGAAAGTTGCATAAGTAACAAGGAGCTGAATGTTAATCACCAATTATTGCATTCCTTTGACCTCTATTACACAGTTCTGAAGACACTTTACCAAGAGTATATAGTATCTTTAAGTGTTAAAGCTGGACAGAACCTTAGAGATTAAAGATTTTTTTTTTCTCAGATAAGAAAACCAGACTAGAGAGATGAAAAGATTGACCAGAGCCACAGTTAAGTGGTAGCAAAGCCAGATGAATGGCTCTCCTTTCCAGCCAATGTAATTTCTTCAACATCATGCAGCTTATACTACTTCAGGGCCACCTATTTTACTTAATAATATCCCTATAGAGGATATTTTGTTAACAATACCTGGGATCGGCTGGGCACGATGGCTCATGCCTGTAATCACAGCACTTTGGGAGGTCGAGGATGATGGATCACCTGAAGTCAGGAGTTCAAGACCAGCCTGGCCAAGATGTTGAAACCCCATCTCTGCTAAAAATACAAAAAAATTAGCCAGGCATGGTGGCAGGTGCCTGTAATCTCAGCTACTCGGGAGGCTAAGGCAGGAGCATCTCTTGAACTCAAGGGGCAGAGGTTGCAGTGAGCCATGATCGCACCACTGCACTCCAGTCTGGGTGACAAGAGACTCCATCTCAAAAACAAACAAAAAATACCTGGGATCAGCAATTAATTAGAGTTATAAAAGCAAGCTGTTAGCATAAAACACAATAAAAAAAAACTTGGAGCAGGCATGGAAATTTTTGTCCATCTTAGATATTGTAATTATAAAATTATTTTGTGATTAATAGAGGATAAACTTGAGCTAAAGCTCAAGAATAAACAAAAACAAAACAGAGTACTTTAGGTGTATTTCCTAGGTCCTATTTCCTAGATCCACCAAAAATAACATGGAATTCAAAGCTGGTGTTTAAGACAAAAAAGAATAAGACAGGCCAATCTTTGGTAGGTGCTGTTAAGACAATGGGTTCTGAAGCTGGATTGCCTGGGTTCTAATCTGTCTTAATCCTTATCTGTGCCTCAATTTCCTCATCTGTAAAATGAGGATGGTAATAGTATACATCTTCAGAGGGTAGTTGTCAGGACTGAATCAGATCATATCAGTAAAGAGCTCAGAACAGTGCCTGGTATAGAGTAAGCCAATGTTGGTTGTTCTTATCTCTTTGTCTTTGAAGAGAAGAAACCTCTGGTCATCATAGCACAGAGAATAGACCTACTTTTATTTATTTATTTATTTAGCTGTAAACATACTATTATTTAATGCATTACATAAAATTATTTTGGGACGTACAGACTGTATAAGATATTAATTAATTAATTAATTGAAACTATTTATAATACCACCACCAAATGGCAATTGGTTTCAAATTTAAAGTGTTTCAATCAAACTTTTACACAATGATATGGTTTGGCTCTGTCCCCACCCAAATCTCATCTTGAATTGTAGCTCCCACAATATCCACATGTCATAGGAGGGACGCACAGGGTGGTATTTGAATCATGGGAGTGGGTCTTTCCTGTTCTGTTCTCATGATAGTGAATAAGTCTCATGAGATCTGATGGTTTTATGAAAAGGAGTTTCCCTCCACAAGCTCTCTCTCTTTGCCTGCTGCCATCCACCTAAGATGTGACTTGCACCTCCTTGCCTTCCACCATGATTGTTAGGTCTCCCCAGTCATATGGAACTGTGAATCCATTAAACCTCTTTCCTTGATAAATTATCCAGTCTTGGCGATCATT